GCAGTAGATACAATTTCCGCTTATATGAAGGAAGCACTAGGACTGGTACATCTACTTTTCAACAATGCCGCAGGCCAGATACAAATCCAGGTGAGAATAGTTATCATGGTCTGTGCAAGAAAATCACACATAAGCAGTATAAAAGAGATTTAAGATAAATCATGACCGGTCTGTATAATGCCATCCATTGATTTGCGCTCACTACCAAACTTGCAATCGATAACAATCTTTGAAATACGCTGCTATTATATATATGATGGCTACATAAACAATTATATATTAACCGGGAAATAAAGATATGGAATATGTAATGCACTTAGCAGACATAGTACAAAGCTGGAAAGGAACGTGTTCTAATTTTGGCGAAGGCTATACATAACCATTAACATATAATATCTCAGCTAAAACTTCTTTGAATAAAAATTGGAATATTTGTTGTAAGTAGAGCGTATAGAGTCAAGTCTTGATCATCTTGTATGACAAGTACCAAGCACACTCACTGCATTGTGCATTGTGGTGGTAGTTTCTTGGTCGGGGCAATTAAAAACGTGTGTTTGGGGTCAGTTATGCCTAGTAATTAATTTGATGTACACAAGATAATATTAGATTTATTTCTTTACCTCTGCTTGCAAAAAAAAACACGAAACTTGTACTGTAATTATTTATTTTATTCTACAAAATAAGATTGGATACAGGGATCGACATGCTGGTTAGATGGGTCCTTGATAATTTTACTGAACACAGAGCTGCAGATGTGACTTGGCAAGGTGACCTCAAAGTGGGAGTGGTATGGAATTGTTAAAGCAATTCACTGAATACAGTCAGAGCTGCAGATGTGACTTGGCATGGTGACATCAAAGTAGTTCAGATGACTTCGATGGCGATTCTGATGATGAGCTATGCTTGTTAACAAGTCAAAAGGTATCTTCTTCCCTTCTTGATCGTTTCCCAATAGTTGAAATTTGAGATATTCCTAATTAATTGTTTTAATGTGTAGGTCTCTTAGTTTAAGCGTCTATTATTTTTTAAATCCTTAACAAAAACTGCCAATACCAAGGTTATACCAATTGAAGTATCTAATTTAAGAGCCTCTGTAAAAATTGGTACCAAAACTACACAAAATAATTTCACCGAAACATAATGCACTGTAAAGTTTCCCTTTCACAATTGACATTCTGATAATGATTTTCTATTGATTTTGACTTGGACTTTTTTATAATGATTTTTCTTTCTCTTAACTCCTTTTGCTTTCAAGCAGTCTAGATCAATAATCTTCGCTGCTTCAACCACTATCGCTTGGATGATATACGTGTGAAGAAACTTGAAGAACTTTTGTTGAAGAGCATGCCTAATAAACTAGAATCAATTATATTATATTATATTTTAATACCTCAATCTCTCTTTTATACTGTTTAATTGTAAACATTTTGAATATCATAAAAATCAAAAACTCCACTCATAATATTAATTGTGTGTATAATTCAGTAATCGCAATGAAATGGGTTGATTATGAAATCAATGAATTGATTTAAAGTGAACTGGTAACATTGTCCATGATTTCTGAAACAATGAACTGAATGGTCGTACCTGTGTCAGTTTTCTGTTACAGTAATGTAATGAACTCCTGCAAACATAAATCTTTTCTTCTTCCTCTTTTTCCTTCCCTTTATCTCTTTTCCTTTTTCTTTCCCTTTCCTTTCTTCTCTCTTATTTTTTGATGGGAGGGGGGGGGGGGGGGGGGGGGTAACAGCTCGGAGGCTAGGCCCTTTTGGTCCCCTTCCATCTTCTTCTTTTCCCTCTTTTTATTTTCTTCTTCCTCTTTTTTCTTTCCCTTTTTCTCCTCTTTCCCTTCTTTTTCTTCTCTCTCTTTCTCTCTCTCTCTCTCTCTCTTTTTTTGCAGGGAGGGGGGGGGGGATGGGCAAGGCCTGCTCGTCCCCCTGGATCCGCACCTGAAGCGTTAGATCGTTCACTTCTATCTCTGCGCCCCAAATAATCCGAACAAATGAATCAACTGTTAAACGAAATTATCATGCGTCCTTGAAAAATGTATTAATATTGCTTGTCATAGTATTATTGGAGAGCAGCAAAGGCGAACGATTGTCACTACAATTCACAAATCGTCGCTTGGAAAGCTTTTCTCTCAAAATTACCATGCGATATCAAGCTACATAGAACTATGATCGAAAAAAAAGATATCGTCTTCAAAACAATCAGAAACAGAACTTAAATTAAAAAAAACATAATGCAACTGAATAAGACTAGAATGAATAGGAAACTTTTTACCATTTAAATCATCCAGTATCAAATACCTAAGCAAAATTCGATCCAGATGCATATAATGGTAAGCTTAAAGGCAATGATACTTGACAAATTGTCAATTGTCATGAGTTTATCCTCTAGACGTATTGCAAAAGATAATCAGGATAATAAGGATCAGATTGATACCTCTACTACTACTTATACATGTACTATACTATACTACTGCCATTATTGATTATGCTGATAATACGGATGATAATAATGATATGATAATAGTTATAATAATACTACTTATATTAATCGTCATAATCATCATGTTCATAGTCATCATAATGGCATTTTTACGCCGTGTTGGTTATATTACGTACAACCAGCCGGCCCATCCATTTATATTTTTAATTAAATAATTAATTAACGGTCACCGTATTTTGGGGAAAGTAAAGCTGAATTGGTATGACCGTATTGGCTAAATTTCACACATTTTGGGGTCTAAAATTACCTTCATAGCAATTTTAGGTTCTAAAAGGGAACTAGAAATGTCATCGATAAGAATAAGAACAATAACCATGCACTCTGAAGGCATTTTCGGTCTGAAAACAGAACTCGACTATCTCTTTAAACGTGAGACTGTTCACCCCCGTCTCTCCCCGACAAATAATCCATTATTGCGTCGACCAATATTTCGCTCACCAAAGAGGGGGGGGGGGGGTTAAGGAGCATTCCTTTTTTTTCTACTCAGCACACGCCCCCCCCCCTTGAGCAAAAACAAAGAATGAAATTGAGGGGAGGGTTAACCCCCCCCCCCCTCCACTCTGCGTACGCGCCTGCGCATGAACATTAATTGTACATACTCTGTGGCAAAAAGGAAGTAAGCGAGGGAAAGGAAGGGCAATGGCAAAAAGAGGGGGGGGGGTAGCCCGTTGCCAGGTTTCAAATTCAGTTCTTTTTAATATATTAGACCCAGTACCGATGATCATAATTGAATCTACCATGTGACGCCACACCGAATAGCACCTCATTTTTGTTTATTGTTGTAAAGAACTTATTGGCATGCACCCAGTAGATTTTCATCATGTGTTTGATCTTGTTATTGAAAAACAGATCAAACACTTCATCATAATCTACAGAGTGAAACCAAAAATTCCTTAACAACAATTAGAATTCTTTTCAGGAAGCCTAACAATAAAAGCTGTTTTTGATTAAACGAGCATCGTAGAGACGATGAACAAATAAGAATAATAATATAAAGTCGTTCAGCGTGTATAGGAATGAGAGCGTGTGTTAAAGAGCAAAGGGCCTGCTTGCTCATCCTTGACCCACTCTTGCATGTGTCACCTTACAAAATATATTTTAAACCTGACTTAATTTGCCTGTTATTGCCTTAGTCATGTTGGTTATGAATTGTGTTATATACTGTATATTATACTTTGTGAGAATGTCAAACGACATTTGTATGTATTATTGGCAATGTAAATTGTTCATAATTCAGCCATCTGGCTGCGAAGTGCAATTATAATAAAACCTTTTCAATCAATCAATCAATACAAATGTGTAGGCCTACAGTCACGCTAGGCATATACATGCAATGGGTGTTCTTGAGCATGAGACACAGCTCGGGTCACGAACAGCTTGGCTTGGCTTGATAGAACTCCTGGCGCCGGTGTCGGAGCTTCCTGGAGTTAGTGAGTAATGTGCCGCGGGATCCATATCCTTAAACTGCTGGTGAACAGAGCAACAACACCAAGTTCTGTAATTATTAGGATCTCTGTCCAATAGTGTCGTGTTTGTGCCATCAACCTGGATCGAACAAATCAATTGATTCATAATATATATATATATATATATATATAATATTTTTTTGCCCGTAACATGAGAGTAATATTAATCGCTTCATTCTTTAAAATAAATGTAACGTTAATTGTCATTGTATAATTGTGTAATAAAGTGGGTGCACGCTACAAGAGTCCTATCTCGCAACCTGGGGCAACGTGTCTGACACGGCCGGTTCTAGGAACTACTCCGAAGATCAAGATACATTAATCCTGATCTAAGGAGACACGAACAAACAGCGGTATTAAAATTATTTACAACCAAGAAAGGTTCTACCATCGTTAGTAGTGACCAATATGTTTGGTCAATGAATGTGAAAATTACCACTGCAGAAAGCGTAAGAGGTTTAAAGGCATACAACAGTTTAAAGGGCGGCGTTAAGGGGGGGGGTTGCTTCCTTTTTATATATTTGCTAATCATGATCCATCCTCATACAACAGCAAACGGACGACAAAGACAAAAACAACAACAGAAGAATAGATTTAAAAAGAGGTGAAGTTTCAGGCAGAAAGGGGGTGGTAGGTTGGGGAGTGGGCGATTTGGACTATTATTTCACTAAGACCAAATTTATTAAAGATAAAATTGAGTTCTGGTTAAAAAAAAGAAATTTAATTCTCACAGAATCAGACGAAACTAATTATAGACTTAATATTCAAGATTACAAATAAATGTCATTTATGTATACTGGCTGAGTAATGAGCATAAAATATAAGGAAATAAAGGTAAGTAGCCCCAACACCAATTGTGTAGTCCCATATACATCTTTCTGTGTACAGTTCTTGTTACTTTACTATAAAGACTGGGCCAAATTTGTTATGATTTTGATGACTCCAGAACCTTGCAGTACACACCAAGACTTATATGCTACATGATCAACTTTTTCTGACCCATTCCACATCTTTTCTTTCGCAATGCAATCGCATGACCCAAACTCAACTTTATCTTTAAAGGTATTACCATGAATTAAGAATCCGTTTTTGTTAATCCATTCTTTATTTACTCAGAAGCCTATATTTTAAATCATTTACATTTTTTGCAAAATAGAATCTTTACAACGGTGTCTCGAATGAGAGGTTGAGCCATGGCATAAGCCAATGGGTTGATCAAGCTGTTGCTGTATGATATCCATCGAGGTACTTCTATCAAATTTACAACACTGTTAATAATGTCATAGAGCCAAGTAGAAGTAGAATATATCGTGACGGCAAGAGCATTCGGCAACCAGGTAACAACGAAAGCGAGGATTATGAAAGTTAAAGTCTTCATTGCTTTTCGACCTTCCTTTGTTGATTCCTTCTGGGGCTTCTTAGAGACGTTGTATCTGGATGCTGACTGACTTTCATTTATTTCTAAAACACGGTCTTCGTTATCGCTTCTGGGATGATTTTGTACTGACCCTGCCATACTGTCAGCAAGAAATGTAGCGTCTTTCTTGGACTTACTGGTTGGTAGAGCAGAATCTTTCGACACCTGCAATGAAATATTTGAGCCAACAATTGTTGTATCTCTCATGTCATCCAACGTAACACCGCTTAGACTGGATTCGGTTAGGGATGGTGCTTCCTCATCATTTATTTTACTTGCAGAATTGTTGATATTTTGGTCGTTGGCTTCTGTTTTCCCCTTGCTCGTCAAATGCTCTTTCTTCAAATTAAAGGCCGAACGCCTTCTGTAGACAGCCTTCACGCGAAAATAAATTCGTAGGTAAAGCCCAGTAATGAGAAGAAATGGTACAGCAAATCTCAGGATGAATACGAATACGCCTGCCGTTTTGATTCGAGAATAATTCGTTCTTGGCAAGCCCGAATCTGATAGTTCGCCACTTGGGGCTATGAAATCCCAGACACATGTTATCGAGATCCATATTCCAAAGGATAGGATCCACGTAGAGATGTTCACAATGGTAGCCTTACGGATACTTTTCCTTTGGAAATGTTTGATAGGATAGAACGTGGCTATGTAACGATCGATGCAAATGACGACTACACCGCACACAGATACACTGAGAATAGAGTTCTGAAATCCTATAAACAAGATACCAAGTACTTGACCAAAGTTCCAACCATCATAGAGATTGACAGTCGCGCGGAGAGGCATACAGACTAGGCCAACGACGAAGTCTGCAATGGTTATGTTCAAGATATAGGAATTGGTATAAGTCCGCAGTTTCTTCTCACCGTAGAAGGCTGCTAGGATAAGCGCATTTGTAAAGACAGTCAAAGCAGACAACAGCATTAAAAGTACGAATGTCACACTGATTTTTGGTTCGTGTATGTTTTGAGTATTGCAGTCCGACAAATTGTCAGAGGTTACGAATGTTCCATTGGTAAGAGAGCAGTTGTCGAGTATCTCCATTATGGCAAGGCAAACCCTGATTCATCCTTCAGCAGCCAATTACCAGAATATTAAGTCAAATGCAAAACGAGACATGCACAAATCACCAGTACAATACTGTGTACAATGGCATGATTCTCTGTCCTTTGGGTGTGGGGCGACGAGGGGAGTTAAGCTAAGGTCACTGTTCCGTCACATTTGTCTTGTGGAGGTTCATCAAAATAATGCATCCATATCATTCCGTCGTATTTGTGACAGCGCTCTAGTGCTCTATATACAAGTCATAAATGAAGACGGGAGCAAAGTACAGGACGATCTCGGTTGAGTGAATTCTACCGTCGTGTTTGGTAAAGCACTATCGTGTTTGCTACAGGGCTGTAGTGTCAAGTTTAAACCTCTAAATATCATTTGACGGATGGGTGAGCAACTTTGATTATTGGTAATGTATGACATTGGCAGTTAACGCCTTGTTTTCATGGATGTTCAGCTACTCCTAGGATTAATTTGGGAGGCGGGAGATTCAAAGGCCAATCATAGACTGATTGGGGAATGTGGAAAATATCCCCTCCCCCCCCCCCCCAAAAAAAAAAAACAACAACAACAACAAAACCAAAAAAAATCAAAAAAACTATACAAAAAACGGGGGAAAAACGGGGGGGGGGGGGGAATCGACAAATATTACTCACCAGCTACGGCAGAATTTACACAAATACTTACCATAGGATTGCTTCAAAGAGCCCGGAACCTTTGGAGAAAAAAAACGTTTGCAATGATTTTTTTTCATGTACATGAGTACATACACTGTCGCTTATACAGTTGGAATATTTTTGTTTTAACCCAATTTATGGAATTATTTTAGAAAATAATTTATTCCTAATAGATCTAGATAATAGTATACATTCTCGATTTTATTGAATAATAATTTGCCAATGTGTGTTTTGCGTGACTGCTAAAGCATGTGTATGCTTCTAGCTTATCAACTAGGGGACATAAATGACAGCATTGAGGATTAATGCCCCACAAAAGGGTCCTTATAAAGCACATCGACACGGTTTTGATCCTGGGGCCTCGCAGTTACAAGGCCATTGCCTTGTCACTGAACCATGACTGTACGCAGCGGGGGCTAGGGTAGGGGGCAGTTTCCATAAATAAAGAAAGAAAAAGAAAATGCAATAAATTTTCAATAATTTATTGCATTTTATCCCGGTCCCAAACATAAAAAAAAACATCTGTGTGCCCATGCCTTGAGCCATAATACATGGCCGTCCAGAGAATTTGTTTATGTTTGGGACCGGCATCACGATAGGGTGTCGGAAGGAGGAAGGCCTGGCATTATGACAATGTTTTTGCCAAAATTATGTCAGTCTTTCGTATTGCATGTTGATCAAAGAAAAGCCTCGTAAAATGTATATTTAACGAAAAAAAAAAGAATGAAATTGGAATGAATTACATTACAGATATAAGGATGAGGAATTCGGGCATCTCTTATTGCCAAATGTAAGGATGTTCTATCACTCACTGCACGAGTATGAATATATTTCGGGCATTTCGGTCCATGAAACCAGGGGCGTACGCAGGGGGGGGGGGGGGTTTGGGGGTTCAAACCCCCCCCTCCTTTGGTATTTTTATGTGTGTAAACCCCCCTATAAAACCTAAAACCCCCCCCCCCCTTTGTTGTTGTTGTTTTTTGTTTTTTTTTATTATTTAAAAAAAAAAAAAAAAAAAAAAATTATACCCACGGCTAACCTAAAAAAGGTGACCTTACCCCCCCCCCCCCCCCCCACTAAGCGACTTTTCGGCCGGCGCGATTTTCAAATTTTCGGGAGCTAAATATTTAAACCCCCCCCCCCCCCCCCTTGAAAAAATCCTGCGTACGCCCCTGCATGAAACCAACATATTTCAAAAGATTTGCAACCGAGCAAAGCATGTGAGGAATAAATGACACTTTTATTGCGTTAAAATGTTAATTGGTCATCAAAGTATTCTATACAAGATATAACAATGTAAGATAGATGGTTGCTCGACTATCGGGTGGGGGTGGAACAACTACCCGCCTCATATGTTCGTCAACATCATCATCATCATCATCACCATAATCTTCATTATCAAGGTCATCGTCATCATCATCAACATTGTAATCAATACCAATTCACCATCATTATCATCATAATAATGATAATTATCATCATCATAGTCATCATTATCGTCATCATAACCATCACCATCGTCAACCATCAAGATCATCCACACAGTGCGCTGATCAGTCGTATTATTATTGTTATCAAAGCTTTGACATTTTCTCAGGTCTATGGTATCTGATTTCACTGTTAGATTAAACTGTGTTAATCGCTGGCTGAACTTCCAAAAACTTCATACTTTGCGCGAGCGGCTCGTCCTTTTTCAGTCTGAACTTTTTGTAAGAGGAGTTATGGAACCACTCGTTTTTATTATTACTTTTTTGTTGTTGTGCAAATCGCCTTCGTTTCTTTCGATTTGACCGCGTTACCCTGACACCTATAAAATTAATCCGAGATCCTTGAAAGCATTCTTTACATATTGATAATGGTTAGTGATATGAATTTATTGCCAGTGTAGATTTTTTAAACACTGCAATTCTTCCAAATATTTGCTACCTTCTCAAGGTAAAAAAACCCAGATGTTCATATTATGACTTAAAGTCTCTTCGTGTCTATTGCAAAAGGAGCAAAGATTGCTCACTGCATGTTTGAAAGTGTATAGATGCCTATTTGTATACATTAAATTGTATTACAGTTTATATTAAACTTCCCTCAGCTTTCTGTCCAGGGAGGATTGTTCTCGTGTCATTTTCGACCATTTTATATGTTCGTTCCAAATTGCGCACTATTTGTTTTTGTTTAGCCCTCGAAAATTTGAAAAATTGCACCCCTCCCCCTTGAGCACCAGTGGAGGGGGGGGGGGTCCATCTCCAAAAAAAGTTAACGTGTTTCTACCTGTTTTTCAGAAGCGCAGGGGTTTTATACATAAATTATCGTCAGATGAGCATATTTTTATACTTTATTTTTGACACTGGCAGGTCACGAATTGGCGTGGGTTCCAGGGGGCGGATTCCCCGGAAGCTCAGGGGTTTTGGACAATAAATAATGGTCAGATGAGCATATTTTCATACTTTATTTGTGACACTGGCAGGACACAAATTGGTGTTGGGTCCAGGGGGCGGAGCCCCAAGAAGCTCAGGGGTTTTATACATTAAGTTATCGTCAGATGAGCATATTTTATACCTTATTTGTGACACTGGCAGGTCACGAATTGGCGTGGGGTCCAGGGCGGAGCCCCCGGAACCTCAGGGGTTTTGGGCAATAAATTACGGACAGATGAGCATATTTTTATACCTTATTTCTGGCACTGGCAGGACACTAATTGGCGTGAGGTCCAGGGGGCCGAGTCCCAGGAAGCTCAGATGTTTTAAATTACCGTCAGATTAGCATCCAGCTGTCCGCCTTAGGGCCCTAGGTGGGGTCCAGGGGGCAGAGCCACCGGAAGTCAAGGTGTTTTAGGCATTTAATTACGGTTAGATGAGCGCATTTCGATACCTTTGATATCTTTCCCTTTTTATTTCCTTTTTTTTTCCTTCTTTATTTCCCCCTTTTTTTCCCCTTCTTTACCCCCTTTTCCCCCTTTTTTTTCCTTCTTTCTTTTTCCTTCTTTTTTTTTGCCAGGGGGGGGGGGGCGGGCCCCCCGGGCCCCCTTGATCTGCCACTGGTTGTACCACACTCGCGAACGACGCTAATTTATTGTCTGACGATCAAATACAAATATGTAAAACAGGTCCTTTACTATGTGATTCATACACTCTTTTGTGTACATTTAGTTATTTTATAAGACCAGAGAAACAAATGTAAATTTATTCTGTGCTTTTCATTATATATTTAGTTTTGATATACCATTTTTATATCATGTCTGTTTGGCCATCCTTTTAATTCTCTACGTTTCAGTTCTAAAGATTCAATCTTCTCATTCTCGATCGTTTTTAAAAGATCATCTTAAAGGGAGAATATTTATATTTCTAGATTCCCAATATTTTCCTTCTTCAGCCTTGCTTTTTCTTTCGAATAGCTGCTTATAAAATGGTTCATTTTCATTTGTTTTAATCACATGAAACTCTTTTACTTTCTATTTCTGTTTTATACTCCTCTTTCAGTTCAATGATTGCGGTTTTCATTAACACAGTGAACTTTTCATCTTTACATGAACTATTATTAAATTTCCAATAAGATCCTTTGAATTTGATATCATTCGGAGGTAAGTTAAAGTAGTTTAGTTGTACAGCTGGATGATCAGGAGCCATTGGTGATATTATATATATTGCATTTTGACATCATTTCATCTAATTTTTCGGATACAAACGAACCAATAATCAAGTCGACTTTGCATAAAAGGATTGATATGTCAATAAGTAAGTTGCTCTTTCATCCCATTTCTCACTCTCCAAATATCAATCAAATTTAATCTATCCACAAAATTGTCAAAGTGTCTACATCATTTTGAGGGATCATTTCGTTTACCAGTTCCCATGTAATCCAGGGCAAAATTGCTGATCGTGTTGAAAGCACCTCCTATTATTAGCTGAATATTTTGTCCATTAACCGCTGCAAGGGCTTTTTCAAACTAGAGTAACAAATTAATTTGTTCAAATTCCTTCGAGCGTACTGGGAAATATACTATACATTGGCTATTGTAAGCCTTAACCTTTGTATAGTGAACTCCATTATAATAAACCTACCATTAGCATCTGCAATTGCATTACTGATTTGAATATCTAGTTTAGAATCAAATCGAATAAGAACCCCCTTACTATGGTTTGTCCCATGACTAAAATACAAATTTTGTTGATACCATTGATCGATTGTACTAATTTGTGTGGAGGGGTGCGTGGGTTCATGATATTATATTGCATTTTGATATTATATCATCTAATTTTTCGGAGACAACCAAATAATCAAGTCCACTTTGCTTGAAAGGATTGACTTGTCAAGAAGTAAATTGCTTTTTCATTCCATTTGTCACTCTCCAAATATCAAATTTAATCTATCCACAATTTTTT